AGAGTAGGGGGAAGTGGGGCAGGCTGGGTAAGGGGCACACAGCACAGGCAGTTAGTGACTGTGACGTGTGCCAACCTCTCCTCCAACCTGGGGAATTGCAATTGTCTTGTCAGCCAGCCCTTCGATCTGCAGCTGCTGTTGCTGAATGCTAGGTGGATCTGAATTAGACCTTCCTCATCCATGATCTGATTATGGATGAGGTGACTGATCTGGCATGTATCACTGAGACCTGGGTGGGTGAGCAGGGCAGAGTTGGTCTCACCCAGCTGTGCCCATCTGGGTGCTTGGTGCAGCATTAGGCCAGACTTTCAAGTCAGGGAGGGGACTTGTGGTCTATAGAGATTCTCCCTCTCTTTGTTTCCAGGCTTTCTGTCCAGCTGAGGGGGGATCTGGAATGTGTGTTCTTGGTATCGGGCAATCAAGACAGATCAGGGATTCTGCTAGTTTACCCCCCACCTCACTGCACAGCAGTCTCCCTGCCTGAGCTGAAAGAACTGGTTTGGGAGGCAGTGTTGAGGATTCCCAGACTGCTGTTTCTGGGGGACTTCCACATCCATGCCAAGGTGACTGGCTCTGAGGTGGCTCAGGATTTCATGACTGCTGTGATGACCATGGGGCTGGCCCAACACATGTGGCAGGTTGCACTCTAGACTTTATTTTCTCAGCTGGGTAGGAAGAGGGTGGTCTGAAAGTAGGGGATATTGATCTCAGTTCCTTGTCATGGTCTGATCACTTCCTGTTGAGAATTACGCTTTCCCCTCTGTAGAGATGGTGGACTATTAGGATGCTCCACCTTCCAAGCCTGATGGATCCAATGGCTTTCCAGATAGCTCTGGAGGATTTTCCAGATGATATGACTCATGCTCCTGTCAAAGTCCTGACCAACCTCTGGACTCTCAACTAAAGCCTCCATGACAGGTGGCCATCCAACCTCTGAGAGCCAGTGTGGTGTAGTGGTTAAAGATCGGTAGCCTCGTAATCTGGTGAACCGGGTTCGCTTCCCCATTCTTCCACATGCAGCTGCTGGGTGACCTTGGGCCAGTCACACTTGGGCCAGAGACACACTGATGTCTCTCAGCCCCACTCACCTCACAGAGTGTTTGTTGTGGGGGAGGAAGGGAAAGGAGATGGTTAGCCGCTTTGAGACTCCTTAGGGTAGAGATAAAGTGGGATATCAAATCCAAGCTCCTCTTCTTCTACTCACCCAACCACTCCCACCCCAAACTGGGAAATAATATTATTGGCCTACCTTGCAGGGCTGTTGACCCTTTGTATGTCTCTAGAACTCAACTATGAATAACAGCCAGGCAGCCTGCACATGCAAACAAAAATACTGTAATGGAAAAAAGGGGGGGGACAGCTGGAACTTTGCCTGGGTGGCTTGGCTTAAGTGACTGACTGCGCATGTGCTGCTCTGGCAACCCGCTCCTCAGCAGAGATGCTCCTGTGGGGAGTGGCAGTTGTTCCATAGACAAAGGAAGGGAAGGAATAGGCAGGGGAAAGCTAGACTGATGTGGCTGTCGGTATTTCCACTGAAAGCCACCTTGCTTTCAGGGGCACCGCTTATATTTTTACAACATGCTCCGCACCTCATCCCTTGCCATTCACAGAACTAAACCATTCATTATTTATATTTTTGATCTTTTTGTAAACCGCTTTGAGCTTTTTTAGCAATCAAGTGGTGTAGACATTTTATAGAATCTCTCCCACTCTCGCACACACATTTTAAAAGGCTGGAGCTGTTCATGAGCCCAGGAGGAGAGAGCCATTTTCTCCTGCACCTGAAGGGATGTGGTGAAGGCCCGCTTCCCTGTGCAGGGTGTCTCACAAGTGGGCAACCGTCTCACAGAAGGACCCCTCAGGGCACCGCCACCTCTGAACCTCCCAAGGGAGGAGGGCTTGCAGAGAAGGATCTGTGATGCTAAGGGACACTAATGGCTTCAGTCACAGCCTGCCTTGCCCTTGCCCTTCACCACAGGCCAAAGCAAAGGGAGGGGGGAGGGCCATTGTGTGCATTACTGGACCATGCGGGTGAGTGACCAGGCACTTCCTGGGTGCAGCAGCCATAGGGCCTCCCTGGCAGAGGGGCGCTCTGTGCAACATCAAATTCTGGTGCCCCCACCTCTTACCTGCCATTGGAATGCGTGCTGCCAGTGCTTTGGCCGCAATCCCCTAGAATCGCTTCTGCACTGCTTCAGTGGTGGACGAAGGGGGGTGCAGGGGGTGTGGCCTGCCCCAGGTGTCATCACTGGAGGTGGGACAAAATGAGTTTTTTTAAAAATTGGGCTCATGAAACTTTTTAGGAGTGACGTGGTAGCTTAGGCGCCTGCAGGTTCCGCGCTGCCTGAAACGGCAGTGTGGGACTTGCATCTGCCTACTGCCTCTCCCTCAGCCGCCCTACAGGGGGAGGTGGCAGAGAGGCTCCAAGCGTCGGAGAGGCTCGCCCCACCCCATGGGCACATTGCCCCGCCCCCACAGGCGGATCGCCCTGCCCCTGGCTGCAGGACATGCCCCCGCACCAGGCACCCAAGCGGCTAGCTATGTCGCTGTGCTGCTTCCTGAAACCCATCCTCCCCCTCTCCGGCCCAAGCAGCAGGTGAAGAAGTCAGGCTGCCAAATTTAAAACTGAGAAAGGAGCACTTTGTGTGCCCCATAGAAATCTGCACCTGAGGCAGTGGCCCAACTGCCCCTGCCCACACTACGTCTCTGGCAGGGAGGGAACAGCCGGTTGGGCCAGGGAGGTGATGAATGCCTTCTTGTGAGAGGGGGTGGTCCCTGCCTGCTTGAAGCAAGAAGAAAACCTTCTCTGGATTAAGAAAATCTAAGTAACTACTGGCCACTTGTTAATCTTCCCTTCTTAGGCAGAGTTCTTGAGTAGGTGGTTGTCAACCAGATCCAGGCACTTTTTGAAGAAAGAGATTTTCTAGAGCCTTTTAAATCAAGGTTTAGGTCTGGTTTTGTTAACAGTAACTGCTTGAAGAGCCAGCGTGGTATAGTGGTTAAGAGCGGTGGACTCGTAATCTGGTGAACCGGGTTCGCGTCTCTGCTCCTCCACCTGCAGCTGCTGGGTGACCTTGGGCCAGTCACACTTCTCTGAAGTCTCTCAGCCCCACTCACCTCACAGAGTGTTTGTTGTGGGGGAGGAAGGGAAAGGAGATTGTTAGCCGCTTTGAGACTCCTTAAAGGGAGTGAAAGGCGGGATATCAAGTCCAAACTCCTCTTCTTCTTCTTCTGCTTTTATCCTCCTGTATGATGACCTCTGTCGGCAAAGAGACAGGGGAAATGTGTCCCTGTTAATTCTCCTTGACCTCTCAGCAGCTTTTGGTAGCATTGCCCATGGTCTCCTTCATGGTCTCCAAAGTCCTCTCAATTGTATAAATGCAATAAAGTGCATATGGGTGTTTGCTCGCTTGCTTCTCTGACTATCAGTAAGAGTTATCTGGAGCCAGCTGCATGTTTTCCCTTTTGGTTTCCACTTTCTAGTTGCAGCATAGTTTTAAGTGTGGACTGTGTTGTCCCTACCACTTTCCCAGTCCCTGGGCTGCCAGACTCTGCCCCTAATCCCATCCATTCAAACTATTTTCATCCATGAAATATTGAAAAGATTACAGTGTTAGAAAATGAGCCTTTTGTTGTTTTTACTGTATCATATGGGAAGGGGCAGGAGATTAGAATGCTTGAATTGTTAACATTTATCTGAACTAACTCGATATGAGTTCAAAACTCTTTAAGAAACAACTGTGTGGAAATGGTGAGAATGTGCTAAAGTTGAGCTTCAAAACATATACAACCATCATAGAAAAAATAAACATCCTACGACAAATCAGTTTTGGTTACTATGACAAACTAGACATGTCAGGAGTTTTTTCTGCTTTCCTCATCTTTTAAACTTAGGTTGAAAGTTCATTTTCAATATAAACAATAAATAGCAAGAGAAGATAAAATAGGACTTTAAAGCTTGGGGTAAATACAAACGAGTGATTAAGTGAATGTAAAACTGGTTGTGATAGCCAGCATAAATAAGTACAAAGGAACATTTATCCGAGAAAAAGATTCTAGAGTAAAAGAATGCAAAAAGATTAGAACAGCAACAAAAGCAAAACTCTATATCTAGGCAGATGATCTGACCAAAAGGGAAGCTGATTATTTTGAAATTTTGTTTCTCCAACTGTCTCAAGCAGAGCTTTCCAAGCTGTGTGTTGTAACACATTAGTGTGTCAGCTGTAGTGTGTAGGTGTGTCACACAAGCACTCCCCGTGCTCCTCCTGGGGCTGGAAAGAGTTAGTTTAACCTCTGGTTTGCTAGTAAAACTGAATCACTGTGTCACAAAATGATGCATATCCAGAAAGTGTGTCACCAACTTGAAAAGTTTGGGAAGCTCTGGTCTAAAGTAAAGGTAGAGCAATGATTCCAGTGATGAGCAATTTCATTCTTCAGTCAACAAACAATACTAGGGCTTTGTGACTTACATGGTACATATCCTCTGGTTGAGTGGAATTCAGGTTGAATGGAAGAATTTGACAGACAAGAGAAGAGATTTTTTGAAGGATTTTTACCCACAATATTGCACTACTGGGCAGATCTACCACATATGAAAAAAGTGTCCACCCCCTAACATCCCCTCCAGCACACATTAGAAAAATCAATGTTCCTTTTTGCCAATTCCACCGGGAATTTCACTGGGAACCACCTTAGTACCACTTTTATCATGGACTCCTTTACCCTCCTATATAACCTTAATAGGAGACTTCCACCATATAACACTTGCTGAATTGTATCTTTTATTTTTTATCCCAAATCTGCTCCCCAAATTTCTATTTCACTGTGATGTGTGTCCAGGTGTGCTGTGGTCAGCCTCTCTTTTCATTTTCCAAATGAGGGACAGAGTTATGAGCACCCTTTGTCTGCTACATCTGTTCTTTTCTTAAAATCATATTTTGATTTATTCTTTTAAATATAAGTTTTAACCCATCATTCTCTCCCTCCATTTTCTCTTTCAGAACAAGAAGATAACTTTGAATTTATCATCGTGTCTCTTACTGGTCAGACTTGGCACTTTGAAGCTACAACATATGAAGAAAGAGATGCTTGGGTCCAAGCTGTAGAGAGTCAAATTCTGGCCAGCCTGCAGTCATGTGAGAGCAGCAAGAATAAGGTAAGATAAACAACATTGATCAGAGGAAAAGAATATATGTCATCAACATTTAGACCCTCTATAATGTTTTAAAGGAGAAATTCCTACAGCATTATTATGTCTGGAATGTTTTGCCTTGCTTTGCATTTAGATTTTTAATAGTAACTTATTTGTTGTTTTACTTTTTCAGTTTTCTATCTAATTTCACATTAAAACAACTCATTTGGAATGAATAGTTGCTGCTTTTAAATTGATCTAAATCTTGCTTTCAGTATTTTGAGTACAGTACTGCAAAGTAGTAGTTTTTTCTACTTTGTTACTTTTCAATTTTTCCTGGAAGCTGTTGTGTTTCTCTAGGACTAGAAAATGTATGACGCTTTATATTTAATACTGCAGGAATTCTTCAAGATAGTATTGTGCACAATGTCCCATTTCAACATTTGTCTACAACTGTGATCTAGCTAAAGTTAGTCATGACTTAATCCTCTTGAAAGCTGCGGGACAAGTTGGTCACAACTAATTTCTTCATTTCAATGGGGATTTGTCATTACTAAATTTAGCTGGATTGGGACTTACGTTTCAAGATACATGTTCACAATTTTTTGTTCTTTTGACGTTGGCTAAGGAAAGCTTAGTGGGGGGGGTCTCCTCTGTAATTAGGGATGATTACATGTTCAATGTACAGTGGTGCCCCGCAAGACGAATGCCTCGCAAGACGAAAAACCCGCTAGACGAAAGGGTTTTCCGTTTTGGAGGTGCTTCGCAAAACGATTTTCCCTATGGGCTTGCTTCGCAAGACGAAAACGTCTTGCGAGTCTTGCGATTTTTTTCCGCTTCCCCCCTCCTTTTTCTCAGCCGCTAATAGCCTTTTAGCCGCTAAGCCTTTAATAGCCGCTAAACCGCTAATAGCGCTAAGCCGCTAATAGGGTTGCTTCGCAAGATGAAAAAACCGCTAGGCGAAGAGACTCGCGGAACAGATTATTTTCGTCTTGCGAGGCACCACTGTATAAATAAAACTTTTAAGTCTTAAGGCTTTTAAACAACAAGTAGATTAAATTGAAAAGGGAAATATAGTAGTACCTTCATTCCATAATGGCTTGTACATGTTTTACATTCATAATGTAGAATAAGCTAACTTGAACAGTTATGCAAAATTAAACTTTCTAAAGAAAGAGATTGAGGAAACCACCAAGACACATCCCTGATAATGGCATATCTAGATACCAGCTTACGTAAAGTGTTGTATAGCTTCCATTGAAATCTATAGCCGGAAGTTCATGATCTGATACAGCTAGTTGAATTTGCTCAGGACTCAGCTGGTATAGAAACTGAAAGTCACTTTCTATAGAGATTATCTTTCTGGGTCAAAGTAGAGGTCACTGGCAGGCCACTGTGGAGAGAGGTCCGTAACGCAAGCCATAAGATCAATTCTGATCTTTTGATGGTAGAATGCTCTGTTCACCATTGCTTCTGTTCCCAAATCTTCCTAACAATCAATAACCATGAAAGAAAAGTGGTACAGGAATTAATTTAATTTAACAGAATTTATAAGAATGGACTATTCTGTGATCATCTGTGGTATTAATGGCACACTTCAGTTCTGCTTTACCACTGACAACCGCCTTTGGATTCCTGATGCCCTGCACGCTCTATGCCCCAGTGGTTCAATAAAAGCTTGAGCTGTCAGAAACATGGATAAAAACTGTGAGCTGTGCTTGTCAGACACAGAATTACAGTACTTAAAGATGCTAAAGGATCAACTTCTGAGAAGCTAACCAAAAGCATCAAATTCCATGATCATGTTCATTCAACCCATTTCTGAACTCTCTTTTTCACCAGCTGACAGAAATGTTGTCTCTGTCTTTTCTTTGAGTTCTTATTTCCTGTATGTCTGTTTCTTTAAATATACACAGTCCCGACTGACAAGTCAGAATGAGGCCATGGCCCTTCAGTCAATAAGAAACATCAGAGGCAATTCTCGCTGTGTGGACTGTGGGGCACAAAGTGAGTACTTTTTTTCCACAAGGAACATTATCCTGGGCTTCATAAAGCTTGTAGTCTCTTTGCTTCAGTGTTACATGAACACCTGTTCTAGTTCTTGCCCTCTTGGTATTGTATTCAGTGTTCTTTTCACTAGTTAGTGTTCATTATGGAATTTGATTTGTGTGGTGTATTCCTATTAAATCCTAATTAACACATGCTGCTGGTTAGATTAAGACCTCATTTTTTTTTTTGTAAGTACTGACCTGGAACACTTTTGAGGAGGGAGATTTTTTCTTCAGTTTCGCATTCCTTTTCAACTTAACATGCTACTGTTATGCTCTAGATAAGAGGGGAAATAATGGCTCTTATGAATTTTAGGGGATTTTAAAGTCATTCTTTCTAGACAAAAAGGAAAAAGCATGTGATATTAGAAAACGTACAATGCCTATCTTAATATTAGCATGAGATTCACAAATATATGTATATGTAAAACCTTGAGCCTGGCTCAGGAGTCAGTGGGCAGCCACTTGCTTTTTAACTCAGATCATTTGACCCCTCCCAAGCTAATGTGTCGGCATCTGGCACTTGCTATGGGCTTTTGCGGCTAAATTGATACAGGCCTAGTTGGTCCTTCAGAGAACTCAGTTTTCTGAGTGGAAGGTGATGGGATCTAAGTTTTAGCCTGAGGTATGGCCTGGGCATGAGGGTTTCCCCTGGAGAAGCTGAAATGAAGAGGTGAGGGGGTCAGCTCCCCCTGTGCACATCCTGCATTAAAATTGGACACACCTGTCTTTTTTTAGTACGTAAAATAGGCCAGACACGCAAGGGAGAGGTCAAATGTCATGTTTGTCCCCTTAACTTCTTTGAACATCATTGTCATTGTGGGAAAGGCTTGACCCTAATTTCCTTTTTAATTGTGGGCAGGCTTTGTAGGAATGGATTTAGACACTAGGAGAGGATATATGGTTTGGTTATTATTCTTCCTTGCTCATGTTTATGAGATCAGCAGAGTACCATTCTTTGCAGCTTAAACTTGGAAGCCAATTGTTAAGAATTCTATCGCATGTCTGTTACAGTCCACCTTGGATACAAGCTTCAATTTAAACAAGTCTCCTATCCAGGTGTGGTGTGAGTGTTTACTAGCAAGACCATGAGTCAATTTCAAATTTTCAAGGATCATAGATTCGCAAAAGGGACCCAAGGATCATCTAGTCCAACCCCCTGCAATGCAGAAATATCAGCTAAAGCATCCATGACAGATCTGCTTAAAAACCTCCAAGGAAGGAGAGTCCACCTTCCTGCCGTATCACTCCTCTTGATGTGGACCATCTGGCTATCTGAAATACTACTCAGTAATTAGCACTTCTAATTGTGCTTTTCCCCATGCCTCAACTGGTGTCAGTAGGCTTTGCATTTTCAATGCAATCCAAGATTTCTCTAAAATCAAAAGCAGCACATACTTCCTTGAAATTGCACAAATCAGAATGGTTACTTTTTAGCTGTTGGATGGAGTGCCTTGTTCATCTTTTCTCATCATACTAGCGTGTGTTAAATATGAAATAATGAATTTGCAAATGATGACAGTGATTGTTAGGAGAGTAGCTGCATATAGTAGTACATGGTAGTACAGATGTGAGGAACCTTTGGTGCGCCAGATGTCACTGGACCACAGTGGCCCTGGCCATGCTTGTAGGGGCTGGTGGAAGTTGTAATTCAGCTTCTTAGGGCCCAAAGTCTCCCCACACCTGTTTTAGTGGGCTTGGTTTTTATCTTGGACTTTTAGAGCTGCTCTTTGGTTGCTGTCTCTTTGTCCTGAGTTGTGTAATCATCTTATTTCCTGTCATCTTCTCCATTTTGCCACCATATTTACCCCATGATAGCTAAATAGGTTGCACTTGTACCTTTATGTAAAAACATCATCTTTAAATTACTTGCTTCTAACCTGTACCATGCTTGTGTTGGTAAAAAACATTTGCTGTAATAATTCTTAAGATTTTATTCCCCAAGAACCATGAGCTAAAAGTTCCCTTAATTGGATAAGAATTAGATATGGGGTCCAGACTCTTCAGCATCATGTATCACTCAGGGGTTCTGTTAAAAATTCAAATAAGAGTTGATTACTGGTAACCTTGCCATAAGTGGGAAAAGCTCTTAGAATGTATATTCATTGTGTTGCTTTGTTTTCTTTTCCTATAGATCCTGACTGGGCAAGCTTAAATCTGGGAGCACTCATGTGTATTGAATGCTCAGGGATACACCGAAACCTTGGCACACACGTGTCCCGTGTGCGCTCACTTGACTTGGATGATTGGCCTATTGAACTCATCAAAGTAATGTCCTCCATTGGGAACGAGTTAGCAAATAGCGTGTGGGAAGAAAATACCCAGGGACGTGCAAAACCCTCTCCAGACTCCTCAAGGTAAGCTGTTTCAGTATGCATGCAGGCCTTAAAAAAGTATGTGAAAAATATCTAACCCAATGTTTATCTTTTGAAAGTACCTCTGCACTGCTCTTATTGGCTGCAGTCTTAAATGGGAGCTAATGCTTAAAGAGCACTAGATCTGTATATGATCCTTCCTTCTCCAAGAAGCTCAGAGTGGTGTAACTAGTTAACTAGTCCTGCAAGGGAGAGATTCCTCTTGCCCGGTTCTAGCTAGCTAGTGTTTACCCTGAAGGAGGCAAGCGAGGTCCTTCTTTGCCTGTGTTTGTGTGTGCTTACTATATACATTGTGTGCATACTATATACATACTGTATACATTAAGTGAATCACTTCAGTTGGGAGCAATACTTGCCTACCCCCAGACTGGTGCTTGTAAGCAGATTTGGGGTTGCGGTATCAGAGTTCTTTCTCCAGATAAACATTGTAATTCACAAATACCCTAAGTATAGTTAGCAAAGCATAAGGAAGGTGCCCTGTAAATTCAACACTACCCTCTCCCCATTCACCATTTGTACAGGTCTCTTTGATTGTGTCATCTGAACAGACTGTTTAAGAGCCAATTTCATATTTTTCTAATATCTCCATTAATTACATTGATTTTATGCAAATAAATAAACAAGGAAAGGCTGTTTTCATTGCTGCCTTTAAAGATAACACTTGTTGTTGTGGATAATAGTAATAATAGAATGCAATTTTAGATGAATATATAAGAGTTTTAAGTTTCTGTGAATCATTAATTACTGCCTTTATTTGAAGAATACTGGCTCAGGAAACATAATACAACATAATACTTTAAGTAATAAAAAAGCTGTCTTCATAAGTGTATTTCAGACTCTTTCCCCCCACTAGATTTTATTAAAGTTTGAAAGAAAATATATAAAGGTTAATATTAAGTTGGAAAGAAAATACACAAAGGTTAATATTAAATATCCAATATATTTTTTATCAAAGATAAATAAACAAATCTAAATAAAAACCCAAACCCAAAGGGGAACCAGAAAAGAAAAGAGAGAATTCAGACTCATTTTTATTGCCCATTACCTTTCAGGCAACAAACACTGTAGTAGAACTTCAAATACCTGAGTGCTTTCTTCCTAAATAGGAGTGTGGGGGTGTTAAATGTTCTTTCTTTGGTTTCTGCTCCATAACATTGTAAAAATATAAACCCTGGTGTGTCTTTTGCTAATACAGAACAAATATAGCTATTTGTATCATAATGTCAACAGTGCCATTACATTAATCCGTAAATATAAAAAATGAATTCTGGTGCCATCTTTTATTCATTATCTGATTACTATATATGCAGACATTTGTATAGACATAAATAGTAAAAAAGTTTATACTGAAGTTTATACTGAAGTTAAGCTAAAATGGTAAAAAAGTTGATACTGAAGTTAAGCTAAAATCCAGAGAAAGTTTGATCTGCCCATAACCCATTGAAACTATATACTTACCTGTCCTCATAAATCTCAGTTGCCGGTATTTCAATGGGACAAATCATATCTGGATTTCATACTTCTTGCTACTAATTTGCAGCATAGGTTCATGAAGTAGTTTTGTTATCTGACAATGTACATCCTTCTTATACAAAACAGACAATTAAAGGGTGTGCATTATAACTTTCCATTTGAGGAATATTTAGTTTTCTACTAGTTTGTAATACACCTGCCCTCTTGTTTTCTCCTTTTTCAAACAAAAAAAGTACCATGTTGCATAAATGTATGATGTTTGCTTTAATATTGTTGTTTCAAACAAAAGGTGTCAGCAAAACCATAAAGTATTTCTTACCTGTTTTGCATCCTTATGATTGCCTCTGGGCACTGGTAGCCAGAAAGGGCATACTTTTTTAATGTACCGAAAATTATTACTTTTTTAAAAAGTAGTTGAATGATATCCAGCATTATGTCTATCTAAACTGAAGTTTACAGACTGTAGTTAATCCATAGGTAGAGTTCTATGTCAAATGATTAATTTTCTTAATTGCTAGAAGCTGAGTTAAGGAAGCCAAACGGCTCTCCCAAGCCAGTAACCTTCCATATAAATCTTGCAGATTGGTTGTGATAAATAAATGATTTTGTAGTAGCATTAGTATGTGTAGGATACTAATAAGCACCAGGGACATATGAAGAACTGTCCTACCATTTTATGCATATAGCCACTTTGCAGAAAAGTGGCATCACATACATTTATATAAAAAAGCACATATGTAATTTTTGCCAAAAAAAATATATATCTAAATGGGTTCACATATTGATTTGCATGTTGGTTGATACCCTAAGTTTTCATCACTTCCCAAATAAGTGTTAGCCAGCTTGCAGTTTCAGAGCAGACTCTTATCTCCAATGAGCAAACTACTGTGCCTTCGTCCCATTCTTACACTGATTTAACCACACAACACAAATCACTCTTCTTGCCCACCCTTCTTTGTTCATGGAACCATGATAACGGTTTAGAAGCCAGGTGTTCTGTTCAAAATACATCCATAGCTGTAAATGGGAGAAGTTTGCATCAAGACACTGTAATTAACATATATTTGTTGCATTCCTAAATACACTAAATTTCATGCCCCCCACATCCAAATTTTGGCCAAAATTAGTACAGGTAAAAATAGGCCAAATCTGTTACATTCAGTTTCTGTATACTGTAGTCATGGCAACTGTCTTTCATGCACTGATACTCTTTCAGATAGTCAAAACAAAAAAAAATCCTTCCAGTAGCACCTTAAAGACCAACTAAGTTAGTTCTTGGTATGAGCTTTCGTGTGCATGCACACTTCTTCAGAAGATAGATTACTCCTAACCCATCCAAACTCTGTTATATGGTAGTGCACTTTTTTTACTCATGGGCCATAGATATTTGGGGAGGAGCAGAGGAATGCTCTGACTGCCACCAGCATGCACACTGCTACCCCTCCCCCCAAGGTTACACTCTGGTTCTGCCCAGCCCACGTACCTGGTCTCAATCTGAGTGGCTTCAGAGACTTATATAATTAAGTGACATTTTGCACCCTCAGTAGAGTATAGAAGACTTTGTAACCCTAAGCATTGTGCCCATATCCTAAGCCTAAATATGACTGAAATAAATTCATCCTCTTACCTTGTTTGTCCTGCTTACACTTACTGTATTTTTCGTCCCATAGGACGCACCTAGTTTTTTTGGGGAGGAAATAAAGGAAAAAATCTTTCCTTTATTTCCCCCCCAAAACCAGGTCGGGGAATCCAAACCAGGTCGGGGAACAGCGGGATGGCGACGCTGCGCCTCCCCGCTGTCCCCCGAGCTTGTGGGGCTGCCCGAAGCGCGGGGTGCTCTGCTTCAGCGCGCCCCGTGCAGCAGGCTGCTATCCGCAGCCTAGGGGCCTGCGGGACTCTCAGCGCGCCCCGTGCAGCAGGCTGCTATCTGCAGCCTAGGGAGCCCTGCGGGAACTCCCGCGGGCTCCCCAGGCTTGCTGATAGCTTCCTGAAGCCTGGAGAGTGAGAGGGGTCGGTGCACACCGACCCCTCTCGCTCTCCAAGCTTCAGCGAAAGCCTGCATTCGCCCCATAGGACGCACCCAGATTTCCCCTTCATTTTTGGAGGGGGAAAAGTGCGTCCTATAGGGCGAGAACTACAGAACCTCTTGCTTCTGTACTGAATTTGGGGTTGTAAGCTTCTTTGTGCAGAATTTCATAAAGAGCAATGTACATTGATAGTGCTATGTAAATAATACCAATAAGGAAAAAAAGTATTTTGATTCTCCACCATTTAATACTATCAAATAGGGTAAATTTCTTTTTTTTTCTTTGAGTGGGTAAATATGCGCATAATCAGCCCATATTTTTATTTTATTTTTAAAATATTTTTTATTGATTTTTCCAACACATAATAAAAACAATACAATAAACAATACACAAACAAACACATAAACACGTATAATTTCAAAACCTTCTTTTCTTAAATCTTACTTCTCCGACTTCCCCATACCTCCCCCTTCTGCATCCCTATTTCAAAGTTTCTTCAGCAAGTCCTTACTTAATTTAACTAATTGCTCATTTTTCCCTCCTTCTCTTTTACATAATCATTTACAGCTGTAATCCTCTTTTTCCTATACCCTTGACATTTTAGCACTCATTAATTTTGCAACAGTTCTTAAGATAAACTTTAAATTTCTTCCAATCTTCTTCCACCGTCTCTTTTCCCTGGTCGCGGATTCTGCATAGGGTAAATTTCAAGTCTTAGTATGGGAAATACTTCCACTCTTGTAATTTTTAAGTTACTATGAAAATTCAAATATTTCAGGCAATCTCAACATTAACATCATACCTAACTTTAAAATCTGGCAGTTAGAAACAGATCATTCTTCATAACCAGGAGTGCAGTGGAAGCTGCAATGAACTTTAAGCAGAGGTTTCATATGATTCGGAGGAAAATCTTGGTGAGCAGCTACAGCTTGCAAGTTAACATTTGTGGTCTGTGATTTGTGTGACTATACCAAGCACAAAAAAGTTTATAAAGTTGCAGAGCAGGAGGGGAGCTTTTGAAACTACTGTAGAAACAAGACCAGCTGGCTTCTGATTGTTTTCAGTGGACCACTGATTAGGTCAGCTTTAAAAAGCTTGTAATTGGCTCCAGCAATTACCAAACAACCCTGAGAACCGCTTCTCAAACTTCTGGAGCAGTGTGACAAATTGAAGCTGACTGCTGCAGGAGGAATATCGACTTCCTATTTCTAAACAGGGGATCATTAGTCAAGAAAAGCATCTTTTAATTACTCCCAGGAAAGGGAGAAAAAGGGGAAATCTTTTGGTATGGATTGTGCAACAGCTGACATTTTTTCCCAGTGTATTCAATATTAAATTTGATGTCTTGGGGGCATCTGTCCTTAAACCCTCCCTTCGTAATGTGGGTCAAATTAGATTTGATCAATGTTATAATTAAATGAATTGGGGTTCAAATCAAGACTTTCCCTCCATCCAGTTGCTATTGATACCATTTAAGCAGGC